TGGAACGAGGTTTTAGGAAATGTCAGAGAGGCCCAGTGATGACAAGTGAGGCATTATAACCGAGGTGCACGGGAAAGGAAGTTTAACCTGGGGGGACCACGTGTTGGTTCTATTGCCTGACCATGACAGTAAGTTACTTGTCCAGTGCCAAGGTTCTTATGAAATAATGCACCAAGTGGGGCCCGTAGACTATGAGGTGTATCAGACAGATAAACAAAAAAAAGAAGCAAGTATACCATGTCAATATGTGAAGAAGTGGGAAGAGCAAGAGTGTATGTACCTAGCCCTTCATCCCGAGGAATTAGAATTGGGACCCTCTTTGACAGAGGGAAGTGGACCGGGTGATGTAGAACTGGTCCCATGACTATCTGAAGAGCAGAGAAGACAGGCTACCAAGCTAGTCAAGGAATATGGGGATGTGTTCCAGGAGACTCCTGGGGAAGCTTGGGGTGTAGTACATCAAGTAAAAACTGCTCCATGAGAACTGGAAATGGATTCCACAATGACTGCAGAGCCAGATAAAAATGGAGATTGATATGATGCTGGAGAAAGGCATCAGATGTGAGTCCCACAGTGACTGGCAGAGCCCCATCTTGGCAGTGCCCAAGCCAGATGGAAAAATTTGTATCTGTATCGATTTCCAGAAGGTAAATGCAATAGCTAAGTTTGATGCTTGATGAATTGGTGGAAAACATTGGGCAAGCTCGCTACATTTCCACTTTGGACCTGACAAAAGGTTACTGGCAGGTCCCAGTAGCACCTGAAGATCAAGAAATGACAGTGTTTGCCACCCCTTGGGGTCTCTTCCAGTTCTGGTGCATGCTGTTTGGATTACATGGAGCCGTGGCTACATTTCAGCATCTAATGGAGAGAGTTTTGGCTCCCCATGGGGGTTATGCTGTGGCTTACATAGACAATATTATCATATAGACCGAAGACTGGGCTGAACACCTCACCACACTGAAAGCAGTAATGCAAGACTTGAGAAGGGCCGGGCTGACAGCCAATCCAAATAAATGTATGATAGGAAAAGAAGAAACACAATACCTTGGTTTTCTAGTAGGAAGTGGGAAGGTGAAACCACTGTTAGACAAGGTGGAGGCACTGCGAAAGTACTGAGCTCCTCATAAGAAGAAACAAGTGAGGGCCTTTATGGGGCTAGCTAGTTATTATAGAAGGTTTGTACCTCACTTTGCAGACTTAGTAGTGCCTTTGATGAAGATGATAAAGGCAGGGGCTCCAAACAAAGTGAGATGGATGCCGGAGGTGGAAAAGGCATTTCAAGCAGTGAAGGATGCACTATGTTTGCAGCCCCTACTATATATACTGGATTTTAATAAACCTTTCCTGGTGCAGACCAATGCATTAAATGTGGCTATTGGAGTGATGTTGGTCCAGAGAGAAGGAGAAGAAGAATGCCTTATAGCCTACATAAGTAGGAAATTACACCCTTAAGTGGGCTGTTGAAACACTCCGATATTATTTGTTAGGACAATGGTTCACACTGATCACCAATCATGCACCTCTACACTGGCTACAGAGCATGGAAATGGATAATGCTAGACTGATGAGGTGGGCCCTTAATCTGCAACCATATTGTTTTAATAGATTCCTAGATATAGGGTCAGAAGAGACCTTGTAGATCATCAAGTCTGAACCCCTACTCTGGGCAAGAGAGAAAACGGGGCTCAAATGATCCCAGCCAGGTACACATCAAGCCTCCTCTTAAAGACCCCCAGGGTAGGAACCATCACCACTTCCCTTGTTTTGAGGTACAGCATCCCCCAGGAAACCAGAATGTAAATGCCAATTTCGTCTCAAGACAATATGAAGAAGAAGAGGGGCTAGGGGAAAAAGAAGGACTCCAGGCAAAAGAGAAGAGAGGGGTGTGTGTAACAGGGAACAGGGTGTGTAAAAGAAAACAGAAGCAATTCAAAAGGGAAAGCTATTAGGACTGTGAGAAACAGCATTGTTCCATTTCAACTTGAGCTTTGGGGTTTGGATGGAACAGCATTTTGTTTCAAATTTCATTTTGAGTCAAAAAGAGGTGTTCCAATTTGCTTTTTTGAAACAGTGAGGCTGTTTTGATGCTGTTTTGACATTTCACCCTCTGGCTATAATGGGGAAGCACGAAACAGCCTCTGTCATCTGGCAGACAGATCAGGACCTAACCCCGGGAGGGCTGCTGGGGCCCCCAATCTGCCTGGCAGATGAGGGAGGGAAGCCGGTGCTGCTGCCTGGGACTGGGGAAGGGAACTACCCCAACTGCTCATTTCCCCTTGCCAGTGCTAGATAGGGCTGGGGAAAGGAAGTCAGCCCAGCTGGGCTGAGTTCCCATCTCCAGCTATGATAGGGCTGGGGATGGAAAGTCAGCCCAGCTGGGCTGAGTTCCCAACCCCAGCCCAATGATCAAGCTGGGGAAATGAACTCAGCCCAGCTGAGCTGAGTTCCCCTCCCCAGCATGACCATCACTCTGGGGAAACGAACTCAGCCCAGCTGGGCTGAGTTCCTCTTCCCAGTGCATTGTCATGCTGGGGTTGGAAATTCAGCCCAGCTGGGCTGAGTTGCCTTCCCCAGCCCAATCATAGGGCTGGGGAGGGAAACTGAGCAATCTGTCTCAGTTCCCTTCTCCAGCCCAATTCCAGTGCTGTGGAGGGAAACTAAGCCAGGACTCAGTTCCATTCCCCTGTGCTGTGATTAGCTTCCCCCGTGGGAGGCAGGGAGAGCCAGGGCTGTGCTTCCCACCTGGATGAGCCTGTAGCTGCTGGGAGCACATCCCTGGTTCTCCCTTCTCTCCTACCACCTGGCTGCTGGCAGCTTCGAAACTAGAAATGTTTTGAAACATTCAAAATGTTTTGACTAGCCTCATTTTGTTTCGAGACTGTTTTGAAGCCCTTTCTTTTGTTTCAATTTTGCTGTTTTGAGCTCAAAATGAGTTGAAACAGTGTCAAAATGAAACAGCTGGCAACATTTTGCAAAGCCCTAAATGCTATTTGAAAGGGTGAGCTACAAAAAAGTTTAAGTGTCCTCTGGTGGACAAAGAGGCTCATTACACATCTTTGAGTGCCTTTGTGTTTGCACACAACAAATCCATGGATGCAACATTTTAATTCATGGTGAGCCAAACTCACCAGGAATTTTAGTTTTAGTTTTAGGAGTTTTAGTTGAATGCACCAGAAAGACTTTTAAAGCATCTGGAAAACCTGCTGGTGCAAATGAAAGGGCAAAAAAATGTGCCATGTACAAAGGCCCATGGATGATGAAGACCTCAACCTTCGTATGTTTTTTAACAACAAGATTATGTAGTATGTGGTGTCAAAATTAATGGGATGTATGGAGATGGTCAGATTCACTGCTAAACCAGGTTTTGCAAAAAAGAGTGTATCACCTCAAAAGAACAGTTATATAAGCAATAAGAATAGGTAGGAGACTGGGACATTCATCCAGTCTGCATCTTATATGAGATTCTTACATAAAGGCTCATTTATTCTGATGGGGTCGAGGAGGAACCCTGCATTTCTGGCGAAAACAATTAAACCTCCTGGACTGTACAGAGCAAACAGTTTCTGCACCCAGAAGCCCCTGTCCCCATAAACACAGTTCAGAAGGAAATTAAATGTTATACAAAAGGAAGTGTATATCAGTTATCCCTATCAGATCTATGGTTCTACATCTACCATAATTAATATTACACAGATACATTCATATGTGTATGTGAACATGGGGGTGTGCATCTGCTCATGTAAGCATTTGTGTTTTTCAGGGGTTGGAAAGGGCTTTAAAAAAAAAAAAACTTTACACAATGGAATTTTTCTACAGGAAATGTCAAACTTCCATGAAAAATACCCATTTCTGTTTCCCCCACCATCAAAATCTTCTCAGTTTGTGGAAAACTAATACAAGGGGGTTTTGTTTGTTTGTTTGTTTGTTTTTTTAACTTTCCAAGCAAAATTTGGAATTTTTCCCGAGATAAAAAATGTAAGGTAAACATTTTGTTTGGTCAATATGCTAGTTTCTGTAGAACAATCTTTTCAAACTTAAAAAAAAAATCCTAGTATGCCATTATATATATATTTACTACCCCCTCCCCTCTAGCACACACCTGCACACACACCCCTCCAAAATATCTGACAAGGAGGGCTCCACTTTCACTTAAGCAAAATACAAAGTCCATTTTCTTACTGGTAGGTCCTTGAAGTGCTTTGCATCTGCAGCCATCCTCAGCTCATTTCTGACATAGTCAGTCAAGGAGCGCTTTGGGTCCCCTCCAGTCACAGCTAGGAACTCAGCAGCTACTTTTAATGTGGACAGTGCTCTGGAGATGTCACTCACGGACCTAGCTGTCTCCATAATGCTTTTCATTTGACTCACACTCAGCTGTTCCTAGGAATGGGAGAGGAGATGAAAAAACTAATCAGGCTGCAGGACTGAGGCACTCAGCCCCTATTCCTGTCAGTGGTGCTCAAGTCCCCTGGGCATTGGAGGCATGTCCATGCAGCCCAGTGATGGTTGTTTGTAGCACCTGCTCAAACACCTGTATCAGCTGCAACCAGCTAGTGCAGAGCACTAAGGATGCAGCTCCAAGGTTTAATCATGTGCTAGCAACCAGGGCACAAAGTTTCTGGGGAATCCAGGGATGTTCTCTGGTTATTATCACATGCCATATCCTGACCACCCTCTCTTGACTGTTCTTGTCACCCGTGCCAGACAGATGAAACAAGCACAGGGTGGCAAACCCATGGCACAATTACACTTCTGTTCTGCTGAATAGGCATTAGCTCTTCCTCATACGATTCTGTCCTGGCCTGGCAGGATCCAAGGTATTTCATACAATGCATGAAGAGAGTCAATATCATCACATGCAAGATGAGGAAATAATGCACAAGTGATAATGGATTTTATCCCATTCTAGAAGTTTAAACTGTAAAATCTGGTGATGCCCTGAGAGAAAGTCTGCCAGCAGGTTAGGTCTGTGCATTTTATGACCCAGGGCAGTGGTCTCTTACCTGATGTCGCTGTTGTTTAACTTTGGCTTTGGTGGACTTCAGTGTCTTCAAATTCCGTGGCGGCATGGATGGAGCTGTCTGAAAAGGAAAGTGCTAGTTATCAGTGACTAGTGTATCAAGCATGGCACTGGTCTGTGTATACAGAAAAGATAATTAATGATTATTTTAAGAATTAGAGCTAAATTTTCAAAAGTGCTTAAGTGATTTAGGAGCTGATGTCCCAATTCACAAAGTGATGAGGGATCTGACTGAACGCAGTGCTTAGGTGCTGTATAACTAGGGCTTGGTTTAAATCACAGGCCCAGCTCAATAATATCATGGGCCAATCATGGCAGGAGCCACCATTTTGCACTCCGAATTTGGTGCCCCCCACCCCTTTATCAGCTGAGGTGGCAACTTTAATTGAAGAAGCAGAGGGTAAATGGCATGCACTTTGCTTCATTGCTTGTTCCTGCGCACCCTGTGCTTTGGTCTGTTTTTTGATGTCAATGCCTCCAGGGAAGTGCCAGACAAAGGGGAGATTAGACACCAGGAATAAAATCTTGGTGTGATGGAAATCAGTGGCAAGCCCCACACTAACCCCAAGGGTCAAGTTCTTGCCCCAAATGAGACTGGTCCTGAACTCACCTGCACTTTTATAATGGGTTTCCCACTGATGAACCTGTTTATTGCTTGCCTCTGCAGAGTTTGAAAGTTGAAATGGGTGGTCTTGATCCCGTTTTCCTCCAGCACATACTGAAAGTTTGACAGTGCCATGGTGACCACATCACCTGGGGTAACTGCTATCACAGATGATGCCCTCACTTCTTCAGCTGAGATAGACCTGCAAAAGAGGGCACAGCAATGAGGGGAATTTCTCTTTAGACCCACAGAAACTGAAGGAGGAATGAGCCAGCTCGGGCTATTTATTTTCATCTCTCCAGGCTCCCAGAAGCCATCCAAACACTGGACTCCTGTGATCATACCTGCTTTGCTTGAACATCCCAATCCTTGGAGTCATGGGATCATGGGAGAAAATACTTGCCATTAAAAAGAGGCATGGCAAAATCCTATTCCACTCCACATGCCTAAATGCCACATGCACAGTTACACAACTGCAGTTCTTAGTGCTTGCTAAATTAAGCGTCAGATGCTAAATTAACCTGAACATTGTGTTGGATAGGAGAAGGAGGTTTCCCTGTAGGCTTTTGCCCAATCACTGAGAGGTCAGGGCACTTGACGAGGAACAAAAGAATCAAGTTCTAGGCCCCCTTCACTCTAGGTGTTGGAACCAGCATCATATCTTGCTTTGTGATGTAGTGCTTTAACAGCCCTTCCCGAAGTTAGTCCTGGTCAATGGAAATTACAGGCTGGGTTTGTTCATTGTTGCCACCCTGCTTGGTTATAAAGAAAAGACACACGGTCCCATTTCTACTGAATGCTAAAGAAACATGCACCAGCAAGTGGTCTCTTGGTTCATACTCTCAATGTCTGTGCGTACTTGAGTGCCATAGCTGGATTTTGATCTCAGATATTCCCCCCAAAACTTGTGAGACCACTATTCATAAGGATCAGTGAACTACTCAAAATGCAGTGAAGATGGCAACCATTTTTATCATTAGACACCTTTCAGATACTGACTCAGAACAGATCTTCAAGCAGACTAGAGCAATTTCATTCTCTGCCTGAGTAGGTTACGATCATAAAAGAGGGCTGGAAGGGACCTCACAAGATCATCTAGTCCATCCCATTGCTCAAGGCAGGAAGAGCCACGATTAAAGTATCCCAGCCAAATGTCTATCTAACCTGCTTTAAACCTGCCAAGGATGGAGATTTCACGAGTCCTCGAGGCAGCGCATGTCAATGCTTGACCACCCGCAGAGTCAGAGGGTTCCTCCTAATCTCTATCCTACATTTGTCTTCCATAGCTTGGGACCATCACTTCTAGTCCTGTCCCCTATGGCCACAGAGAAAAGGCCATCTCCATCTTCACTGTAATCACCCTTCTGGTATTTGGAAACTTATCAAATCCACCCTGTCTTCTCTAGACTAAAAAATCCTAGTTCTTTCTGCCTTTTCTTATCAGTTTTACCTCACTGGCCCCTAATCATTTTTGTTGCTCTGAGCTGGACTCTTTCCAAATTGTCCACATCCTTCTTGAAGCATGATACCCAAAACTGGACACAGGACTCCAGGTGAGGCCTCACTAGTGCTGAATAGAGTAGAAAGATCACTTCCTTATTCAGGAAGGCTGAGGTAAAAAAAAAATAAAAAATTGGGTATCTGTACACACTACGGGTTTTAATCCTCATTAAATTAAATAGGGTTATACGTTTTAAAATGGTTTATTTTGCAGTCTTGCCAGTGTTTGCAGATACGTTTTAAAATGGTTTATTTTGCAGTCTTGTCAGTGTTTGCAGGCACTAGGTTGTTGAACGAATTAAGTCCAGTCTTCAGCCAGCGCAGCAGGAGAGTGGGACTGTCCCCATGCTGCAGGGAGCTGGCAAACTGCACAAGAAAAAACGAGCAGGAGCAATTCAGCAGTGGAAGCAATTCAAAGGGGTGAACTACAAAAAAGTGGCAGCCATCTGGTGGACAAAGAGGTTCATTACTTGTCTTTGAGTGCCTTTGTGTTTGTACGTAACAAATCCATGGATGTGATGCTTTAATTCCCAGCAAACCAAACCAAACTATGTCCCTGGCATTTTAGTTTAATGCACCAGAAAGACTTTTAAAGTATCAAGAAATCCTGCTTGTGCAAACAGTCGTGTAGTTGCAGTTCAAGAAGGGGCAAAAAACGTGGCATGTACATGACATCTATACCTGGACTCTGGGGGATGCAGGGTGCTTTAATTAGAGTGGACTTCACATACTTCATAGCATCCCGTGTATTTAGTGTCCTGTGTTTCAAAATGGTGCTGGGGGTACATGAACTATTGCTTGTTGAAGAAGCTTTAGTTAAAGTGCCTCTGCCACCATTTTGCAATGCAGAGATGCTGAATATAAACAATGCAGAGGCTGCTGGAGCACACCAATTAGCACACTCCATCACACTCACAGCAGACTAGATTAATTGGTCCGTTACAGGTACAGGTGCCCAAAATGTGTCTGCCTTTTCTGCATCATCTACAACTAGATTGCTTTCCACATTCTAAAGGGAAATCTATGCATTGTATGGTCTTCCTTTTACTTTTGATGAACTTGTAGATCCCTTTTCATTGTCTTTTATATCCCTTACCACTTGCACCTCAACTTGTGCCTTGATTTTCCTAATTTTATCTGTGCAATACTCTCATACTCTTCCCTAGTAGTATCACCAAGCTTTCACTTTTTTTGGTATTCCTTTGTTGGGTTTCAGGTTATTGAAGAAATTGCTGTAGCCAGGGTCACCTCCTGTTGGATCTCCCCATTTTTCTGTCATACCAGCATAAAACAAGTTACCTAATAGAATCATATGGTTGCATTGCACGTCAAAGATCAGCTACTTCAACACCTAGCAGCAGTGAGTAAAACTCAGTGGGTGCAGAGGGAACAAAGTGTACATTTCATAGACATTAGGGCTGGAAGGGACCTCTGAAGATGATTGAGTCCAGCCCCCTGCCCAAGGGGCATGAAGTCAGCTAGGGTCATAGGATCCCAGCAAGATAAGCATTCATATTGCTCCTGAAGGCATTCAATAAATTGTATGGCTTAGAGTAGTAGTGCCCAACCTTTCTGAGCTGTGGGCTAGATGAATGGTGTGGGAGAAGTTTGGTTGCCTAGTTTGTGCAGTTCACCACAGGTGAGTAGTTCGGAGGATACCTTTGCTTTTCTTTCATGATCTGAGCTGCTGTGTCAATGAAACTGTTCTGTAGCTCTATTAGGAATTTTGTAACGATGGAACTGATGGACGGATCGTGTGGGAGAAGGTCCAGGATGGCAGTGTCAGTACCAATTTCTTTATTTTGGGCTTCATCGACAGCAGATGCTGGCTGTGCAGTAGCTCTTTACTACTGCACAGTACTGTTGTGTGGCACAAAGCAAGATGCAGGGATACTGCACAGTGGTAACAAGCCACTGCGCAGTAGTAAGATGCCACTGCACAGTCAACATTACGAAAAAGCCATTTGGGGATGCTTCTGCTCAGTAACGCTGGTTATTGTGCAGTCATTTATGCAAGTACTAAATGACTGCTAAGTAACCACTGCCACTCTGTCTTTGCAACTGGGAGATCAGATTCTGATAATCTTTTTATTAAATAGCTCCCCACCACCTGTGACTTTGGAAGCATTTAGGCATGAGTTTAGCTTTTTGCATGGCGATTAGCCCCAAAGTCAACTGAATTATGCACTATGTGGTAAGTCTACGCACAAACCTTTGGTGAGATCAGGCCAAATTACGGAAGGGCTTTCTATCAAAGGAGTGATGGAATAATGGGAGTGACTTGTTACAGTCAGTTGTAGTAGCTTTGTGGGCATGGGAGGGGAGGCTGCGGCCAGCCCGGAAACTGGTCCCCACTATGGTTTGATCCACCTGCCAGCCCTGGGTGGCTTAGTGCCTCCAGTCCATCTCCAGGAGAGCCTCGCTCCTTTCCCTGGTGCATGCAGGGGCTACCACTTGCATGGTCAAAGACTGGGCGTGTACTCCCAAGCCCAGCCTCCTTCCAACCATATGACCAGATCTTCTGCATCCAGGGACCAGGTGCAACTAATTGCCTCATTAGCTGCCTGGCCTTTTTAGTCTTTGGCACAGTCCATGTGGGCTGCTTCTCCTTGCTGTACTTTCTGGCCCTGGGGTTCCTATTCTCTAAAACCTTCCTAGTAATAGGGAAGAGGCTGTAATAACATGTCTAAAAAGTAGACATTCCTTATTTTGTCACATGACAGGAGGATATCTACAAAGAAAATTAAAAGGCCATAAAGCCCAAGTACCTATGCATTCAGGATTCAATTTTATATTGCTCCAAACTTTCTGAATGATGTGTACAGCTCCTTCAAAAGACAAGCGTTGATCACCTGAAATTGGGGAGAGAAGAAAAATAACATTTGTCAATATATGTTATTCAGGAGTGTGTGTAAACTCATATATACTGTGTATCATATCAGCGGGAGGGCGAGACACACAGCGGGAGGGCGAGATGCACAGAGATAGAGATAGAGATAGAGAGGTAGATAGAGATAGAAATAGAGAGAGGTAGAGATAGGGATAGGGATAGGGATATAGATAGAGATACATAGAGATATAGACAGAGAGAGAGAGAGAGATAGTAAAAACCAGATTTCTTATGTCTAAAGTAGATCTTAGAATTAAAAGATTGTAAAGGAAAGTCAACTAGCATTGTATGAAAGGAGATTTGCTTCCAAATGCTGGGTAAAAATATGGAAAGCTGTGCAGCTATTGGAGAAGACCATGCTCAATGGCAGCAGAAGTATATTTGCTCCACCAAAAGTATTAATCACAAAAGAAGATTAAATGAGCTGGACCAGTTTATGGAGTGGCTCAGATGACAGAAATGATAGTTTTGAATGGCTGACCGGTTAGAGGGTGTGATATGTGGAGTTACACTTGCTACCTCTAGGCTGCAGAGTAGATTACAGGGTCTTACACCTCATGGACTCCAGTGTCCATAGACATGCCTGACCCCACTTCCTGTCCCTACTGCTGGGTTACCCTCCAGATTGTGGGGGCTGGGGGTGTAAGACACCCCATACTCACTGTTCACTAGGGATGCAACTGGCACGTCATTTCCTAGGGGCCACCCTGCCACACCCAGCCCCACCACACCATCCTACCTTAGAAGGTGTATTTTTACATCATACCCCAGGACCATAAACCTCTTCCATCCCCATAGTTACATCCTCTGTACCTCCAAGATGTTAAGTGAACAGCAGCTCCAGCCAGGCTGTATTCTCTTTGGCTTCTTGCAGCAAAACTGCTGGCCCCACTGCTCAAGGCCTGCTCTTATCTTAAGCAGCTGTGCCCTCTTCCCAATCAGGCAGTCTCATGCTGACCATGTGACTCTTCTGATTGAAAGAGCAGTCACCTGGAGGCTGCTCTGGTGCCTGTCCTGGCCCTTAAAGTGGCAGGCACCAAAGTTGCACTGCCACAGAGAGTTTTTTCTTTCTGCTCAGGGTCAGCCCAATCACCACACTTAGGTTCAGAAAGGAATATTACCCCAGGGTCAAATCAGCATGGGCTGTGGGGTTTTGTGCCCTTCTCTGTATGGAGAAGGGGGGCATGTTCCTCTTCCTGAGATCTCTTGAGTGTATTTTTGCTATTTTTTCAGTGACAGGACACTAACAGTTCTAGTCCTCTTTCTTTTTGTGTGACAGGTTAGGGTGCTCTTGGCGTTTTGGGGCAACATGCTTTGTAGTTGTGCAACAGGACTGATTGTGTAGTTTTAGCAATAAGTTAGACAAGGATGAGTCTGCCTCAGGCAGGAGCTTGGACTAGATGTGACCTTTGGACAGCTCTGCCAAGCCCTCCTTTTCTATACTTTTGTATGACTTAAGAGCCTGAAAAACATTTTCTAAGTGATTTAAGACCAGATTCTGAAAGGATGGAGCCTCAACCCAACAGATAAACCAACGGGATCTTAGGTTCCTAAACAAAAGTGAGATACCTAAGTACCACTGTGTATTTAGACCAGCACTTAGGAGTTTATGAGCATGAATAAACCAGGAATGTTTCACTAGTGTCAGTGCTGCAGTCTCAGCAAATTGATTATTCTTCCCATCCCTATCCTTAAGTTTCTTGCCTACTAGAAAACAGTGTGACTGCATTTGCCTTTCCATTTCCCAGTGCATCTTTCTTCTGTCATTCAATTTGGAGCACAATGTATCTGTTGTTTGCAGCCACTCCCTGAAGCTCCTCCCCTGCCATTCCATCCCAAACCTTTTACTGTTCAGCCTCTGTATCATGCACTCCACCAACGTTGTTCTTGCCAGTGTCTCCAATGAAACACTGGGGGTGGCAGCTTGCTGTCTACCCTCCTCCTCCTCCTCCAGGGGAGCATACCTCTTGTGCAGTGCCAGGGGAGGAGCAGCTCTAGCCCTGTATGTCCTGGATCCTGAGACAACCATCTTCCAGGTAGCTCCGCGTGGGTAATTTTCACCAGCCTTCTTGTTGCCCATCTTCTCTATTTTCTGTTCTTCTTCCTTCTTTTGGAGAACGGCCTGGCACTAGTCAACGATGTAGTCTTTGTGGGCCCTGATGGTGCATAGCTGATGTACTTCCTCCTCAAGCTCCCGCACCTGGCCCTCCAGAGACTCCACTAGGGAGCACATCCCACAAGTGGCGGTGCCTACATTCCCAGCTGCCAGCAGACATGGTAGGAAGGCCCACCACAGTCCAGAACCAGGGGCTCCATCTCGGGGGGGGC